CTTTTATGAGAAGATTTTCAGTATATATATATATATATATATATGCTTTTAAAATTGGAAACTCATGGACCAAATTGCATGAACCCTCTGCATTTTAGCTGGGTTAAATAAGTTAAACTTGTAGTCTTGTACAAAATTTTCAATTTAAATGTCTAATTATCACCAGTATATATAATAATAAATAAACCCCCTTAATAACTCTTCATTATACTTGAAAAAAAAATATTTATTTTGTTAATGCATCAAGATTTGCTGTTTGACATTCAATAATGTGTTTATAGCTGGCTGTTGTAGGAATTTAACTATTGACCTATCTTTCTGAATTTGATAGGAAAGAAAAAAATAAAAAGCATACCATGTCCAAGATATTAAGTGCACAAATGGAGTACCCTTTGGCCTTTTCCTATTTTTTTGTCCTTTGACTGATATGCTTATTTATTCATAGCAGTTAACGTCAAATCCAGTCTGGTGTGAGTGTAAATGACTGTCAAACATAGCAGTAATTCCTGGAATAATTGTTTTGTGAGGTTGAGAAATTTATACCCATGACCTACTGTTTGTTCAGAAATAATTGCTATATCCTCTGTACACATCATTCATTATTTGACTGTTTTGTTTACTGGAGAAGGTATATTTAACTATGCAATCAAGAAGCAAAAGCCATACATGGATAACATAAACCTATTTACCTAACAGACATTTGACCAGGGAGGCCCATATTGAGTTGTCTCTGACGATTGGTTGGAGAGTGAAGTACATTAGAGTACAAAAATGTTATACATCCCCCCTTTCCCTTCTTATTAATGAGTCTTATTTGCTTCTTGATAGTACATCCACGTTCCTTTGTCTATCACATCAGTAAGTTCCCTGTGTTTGTCTGTGCATGGCCATGTCCTCCTGTACTTGTGAAGAAACCTTACCTGTTTCGACTGTTACTAGTTTTGTCTTCTTGTTGTTAACCTCAATTAAGATTTTAAGAAAGCAAAGCAACAAAAACGTGGAACTAGAGGGATGCCATAGTGGGAGTCTTTTCATGATCTTTGCTGAAGTACTGAGAGGTTGGATTTTCCAATTGGCAGAGTGTTGGAGCTGACGTCAACCAGAAACTCTTTAGAGGTTTTGCAACCACAGCAGCAGTGAGGGAGGGCCATCGTGAGATTTTGGAGATCTTGCTTAAAACTGGGGCATCTCAACCAGCTTGTGAGGAGGCTTTGCTTGAAGCAAGCTTCCATGGGCGAGCGAGGCTTGCAGAACTGCTCATGGGTTCTGATTTGATAAGGCCCCATGTTGCTGTCCATGCTCTTGTCACAGCATGCTGCAGGGGCTTTGCAGATGTGGTGGCCACTCTAATGGAGGTAAACCTCTGTTCTTAACTCTGTCTTGTGAAAGTTGGGTAGTTGATATTAAATTTCTTTTTCTCTATTTATTTACTCTTTTGTCCCTGTGACATGGTGTGTCCCTGACAAACATTCACCAAGCCCCTGAATTTCCAAAAACCTATGGGTTTTTGAAGATACCATTGGTTAAACTTTACGGACCTGCAGAGCAGTTAGCTTTGAGTTAAATGAGTTGCTTTTAATGTCCTAAAACATAGTTTTTACATGTGATTGACATGGTTGTTTCTTGTTTAATGGCAGTGTGGTGTTGATGTCAGTGTAAAAGATAGATTGATGCTGTTGTCATCTAAACCTTCTCTGCATGCAAATGTTGACTGTAATGCGCTTGTTGCTGCTGTAGTTAGTCGGCAGGTCACAGTTGTGCGTGTGCTTCTTAAGGTAACCTTCTCATCTCCTACTTTCAGTGTGAGTCTTAAACAATTAGCATGATCTACAAAGGGTTCAAGTTCGGGGGTTTCTCTTATATGCTGTCATGTTCTTACCTTGTATCAAAATTAAGGCTGCATGAAATTATTAAATTTTAAATGAAAAATTCTGGGCACTGGGTCACACATCAAAAAGGTTGGACCTTTATGACGTTGGTGTAACAACTTCGGTCCAGCTGGATATGCGACTTTGTATGGCATCTCAAAAAATTAAGATCCAATGGTCGCTTGAGTAGCTCAAGTGAAAAACAATTGTACTGAAGATGATTGGATGGTCAAATTTTGAGATTGAATTGGACAATGAAGAGATAGTAATTTTTTTGTCATTTGTCTGTTAACATCTTCTTGCTGATCCTTTCATTTTTTTTTATGATTCCTTATCTTGATTGTTATCAAAATCATTGAACAGGCCAATGCCAGGACCGATGTCAATGTTAGACTGGGAGCATGGTCATGGGATGCAACTACAGGAGAAGAGTTTCGGGTGGGCGCCGGACTAGCAGAGCCATATGCCATCACCTGGTGTGCGGTGGAGTATTTTGAAATCACTGGCACTATCTTGCGCATGCTCCTCCAGTACCACTCTCCTGACGCTCCTCACCATGGAAGAACTCTCCTCCACCATGCCATTCTCTGTGGAAATGCTGCTGCTGTCAATGTGCTCTTGAGCTGTGGAGCCAATGTAGAGGCCCCTGTTAAAACTCAGAAAACAGAGTTCCGACCAATACATATGGCAGCCCGTTTAGGCTTATCTGAAACCCTCCACTGCCTCATTGACTCAGGTTGTGATATAAACTCAAGGACTGATTCTGGAGACACAGCTTTAATGATATGCGCCAAATACAAGCATGAAGAGTGTCTGAGATTTCTGGCTACCGCCGGTGCTGATTTTGGCTTAGTTAATACTGCTGGCCAGTCTGCAACTTCACTTGCTGGTTCAAACCGGTGGTCTCTTGGTTTTCAGCAAACAATACTTGAAGTTATCAGGGCTGGAAAGATTCCCAAATCCAGCAACACTTCTGTTTTCTCTTCTCTAATCTTCATAGCTCAAGCTGGTGATATAGAAGCCTTGAAAGTGCTAATGAAGTGGGGAGAAGTTGATCTTGATTATCAGGATGATAGTGGTTTCTCAGCAGTTATGTTTGCTGCTTTAAATGGTCATGTTGAAGTATTCCGGTTGCTGGTCTATGCTGGGGCTGATGTAAAGCTTTGTAACAAAGCTGGCGAAACTGCAATCACCCTTTCTGAACTGGATCAGAATCATGATCTGTTTGAGAAGGTGATGCTTGAGTTTGCCCTTGAAATGGGCAGCCGTAATGCTGGAGGGTTCTACGCATTGCATTGTGCAGCACGTCGCGGAGACTTGGATGCAGTCAAATTATTGACAAGCAGAGGTTATGATGTAAATGTCCCTGATGGGGATGGTTACACTCCTCTCATGTTGGCAGCAAAGGAAGGCCACAGGTCTATGTGTGAGCTGTTGATCTCACATGGGGCTAAATGTGAATTTAAGAACGCTAGAGGTGAAACAGCACTCTCACTTGCTAGGAAACATGCTGGTATAACAAATGAAGCAGAACAAGTGATACTAGATGAGCTTGCTCGCAAGCTGGTGTTAGGTGGTTCCCAAGTACAGAAACACACCAAAAGAGGGAGAGGAGTCCTGCATGGAAAGGAGATAAAAATGATTGGAGATGCTGGAGTACTTAGATGGGGAAAATCCAGTCGGAGAAATGTCATATGCAGGGAAGCAGAAGTAGGGCCCAGCGCAACCTTTCGAAGGAATCGGCGGAGTAGGGGCGATGCTGATGTTCCTGGTCTGTTTCGTGTCTTGACTACCAAGAACAAGGAGGTGCACTTTGTATGTGATGGTGGGCTGGAAATGGCTGAGCTCTGGGTCAGGGGAATAAAACTCCTGTCAAGGAAGGCGATTAAATAGCAAGATGGGACAAGAATTGCAGGATCGTATTTAGGAAGAGAATGTATAGATGTTTGGAAGTACTTCGTCTTGAAGTAGGCCTCTGCATTTCGTGATAAATCTCCTGCATGGAAAGCTATCCATAGCTGAATAGGGAGAGGTGACATGAATTGCTGGATCTTGTTTAGAAAGAGCATATGTATAGATGTTCAGAATACTTCATCTCGAAGTAGGCTGTTGCATTTTATGCTAAAGTTTTTTATCCCAGTAGCTGTAAATGTTTCTCCCTTTTTGTTTTTTTCCCTCGTCCTAATTAAATTCAGTAGCATTTGATCGTTTTGCAGTTTGTAGAGCAGTAATTAGATATTCGTATTTCTATCTACACTGGAGATTGGTCTTGGTTCGGTGCCTGATGGCAAACAATATCCTTTTTGGACAAACTCCACCGATCGATTTCTCTGTTCTCATTTCACCATTGCCATTTAATTTTGGCAAAATTATTTCCACAGTTGATGGTCTTTTCAAGAGTGCAGGTACGGTAGAACCCAGTGTGATCTGAGATAATCTCATTCAAGGTTTCAAACGAGAGCTGCAATGATAATAACTCGTAAGAAAGTGTGAACTTGATAATCTCAATGCCTACAAGTGCTATTTTTCCCCCTATTAATCTTGGTCAATGCTTCAAATGCAGGGATTTGAGAGCATATAATTGGAGAGAACATTGTCATATTGGACCAAATGAAAGGCACAACTATTTCACTATTTGCAGTCCCACCACATGACACTCTAGTAAAAGCTAAATCTAAATCCACCAAAATCCCTTACCAACTGTTTATCAGATTTCTTTCCATCATTCTAAGTTATTATGAGCACTGTTTATAGATTTAGCTGTGATGACCAAACTAACAAGGGGCACTAGAAACTGTTACAAAGGAAAATTCTCAATAAGTGAATTCTGTAACTTTGACCTACGGCCTTAGAAATAATCATGATAACTTTCACTTCATAATACACTTTCAATACCTTCATGAAGCTGGAAATGCAATGCCTGCTTATGAATGGTAATATGTTTTTCTCTAGCTTTCCACAAACATAGCATATAACCTCATGCAACGAGCATCTAATCAATAGCACATGTGTGAAACTTATATTGGAACATTCTACTAAAAAATTGATCAATGGATTTGATAATTCAAATTCAAGTGTAACTCTCTTGAAGTGATTGGAAGAGTTTGGTATAACATCCTCATATTCCAGCAATCAACCGGCCTTAATTTCGTTTTCCTTTTTTTTACACATATCCTCTACTGACTTGACAAACTTTTTCGTCATCTCATCAATCTGACAAGGACCAAACATAAGAAAACATTCAAATCATTTCAAAACTTCTAGGTTTCGAAAAAGAAAAAATTGTTTAACCCTATACTCACCTCTTTCTCTAGTTTCTTGGCATCATCCTTGGGGAAACTCGAACCTGCTTTTTTTATTGTATCCATTGCCTATAAAACCGATCAACAATGTGCTTAAATGACAGAACATTGAAGCATATCATATTGCACTGAACGATGAAACTGTACTTCTCTAATACTAGCATCTCAATTGCAGTCCATACTTTTATACATCTTGTTACACAGTCACCAGTTAGGAAGCCACTAATTAGATGATATGAAAATTATGCATTTGTATTGTGAACCCCATCTTCAAAGACTAAATGTTACTGATTGTTCTGTGAGTGAATTCCTGCTTTGAAGGTCTGTACTCTGTATCACATATAGGAATTACGAACCATCTAGAAAGCAGTACGGAATCTTTCAAGATTATAGAGCATTACTTGTAGAAAAAATTCTTGCATTCAGAATGCTTAAGAAACACAACCATGCAATTGCAATGAGAAATCTAATGTTGAAATATTTTTTACTTCCATACCTTTTGGCGAGCCCTTCTTACACTTTGTTTAACATCTTCACAAGACTTGGCAACCACCTTACACATAGCCTAGTACACATTTCCAGTGATGAGTTGTTGATCACATTGCATAGTTGAAAAATAAAATGAAAGGAACAATCAATCATAAGCAAACCTGGACATGCTCTTTGGTTAATCTGGTAAAGACAAAAGCATGGAAAAATTATATCAGTTAGTAGTCAAGGAAATCCTCAACACTTAATGCATTTATAATGTTTAACTAGTTTGGCAAGTATTTTTATGTCATCTTAAGAAGAAAGATCTTGAAAATTTAAAGTAACAAAAATTTTTCCCTGTGTCAAACAAAATGCTTCATGTCACTCAACTATAAATGTCAAGTTAGCAAGAGCTTACGGTGGTATAGATGCAATCAATCGTTCACCATCCGCTTTAGGATTTAATCCCAATGGAGATGAAACAATGGCGTTCTCTAGCTGCTTGAGGGTCTGCAGAAATACATAATGGGTATGATTTCTCAAGGGTACAATAGCTTTAGCACTACACTAAAAAAACACGGTTGAAGGAAGGAAGAGAAAAAATGCACCAGGGGTCTAATTTTCGTAAAGATCAAAACAGGAAACAAACTTGTTTAAACAATACTGTTGTTCAAAATTCATCTGAGTTGTGCACCGAATACAGGCATTTGAATAGACACACAAAAGTTACCTTGAAAGCCACATTTTTCAAATTGGAAAACTAGCACCACTGAGACAATCAAAACTATTGGGTAGTATAAACAAAATGAATAAACAAAAAAGATCAAGTACCAAACAAAATATCAAAACTATTCAGATAGGACTAAGATCATTACATTTGGATCATATGGATTCACGGATAAGGTTTTAGCATCCATGACAGAAACAACAGCTAATCGATTTAAGGGCAGCTTTACACCATTAGTTTCAACAATGATGTGATCAAGCATTCCTGCAAAGCATACCATTGATGAACACTTCAAAAAATTAAAACCACCAGTTTCGAATAATCAAACTAAAGTGGATGAAGGGCCATGCAAGAATACCTGCAGATGCCCTTCCAGATCTTAATTTCTGGAGGTCTCGAGATAATGCAACTACTGCCGCGTCCATCTGCGAATTAGCAGCTGCCTTAACAGTAGGTCCGATATCAACTAATTCAACTGTACCCCCAGCAGAATCATCCTCTAAATACATATAAGAAAAGAAATGATCTTACATTTCGACATAAATTGATGGAAGAAATTTAAACAAAACAATTACGGATATTCAACTATGCCAAACACAAAACGATCTTTAAATTAAGAGAAATCATAGTCCGTCTAGCCAATAAACTCACTCAATTGCATTTTCCGTCCTTACAAATAAGACCCAAAAACACAACAAGTGCAACACAAGAGAAGTCAATAAAGTAAAGTACTCTGCCTCAAGTTAAGCAAAACCCAGAAAAGGGCAGAAGCTAAGAATATCAAATCCTCCAATTATCACAATCTGACAACATATTAACCATCATTCCCAAATGGGTCAATCATAAAAGCGATCAGTAAAACAGAGAGAGAAAGAGAAGCAGTACTGGATTTATTTTTGCCTTTAGCAAAGCCCCGACGAGACTGTTTGAGGAAATCAAAAGAAGGCAAAGTCGTCGTCGTTATTGTTGGAGATTTGTGGGAAGTAGAGTTTGAGAGAAGATTGTGAGAGAAAAGGGTGGCGGTGTTAGAGAGATTGCGAGTTTGGGTGATATCAGTGGATCTTCGAAGGAGAAAGAGAAATGAGTTTCGAGAAGAGATTGCGCGTCTCAGATGCAGGGCCATTTTAACTCTTTTTTTTTTTTTTTGGTTGGCAGTCCTGTCTTCTCCTCTCAGTTTCTTTTCTATGCTTTCACATCATTTCAAGGTTTTAACACTTGTTTTCTGGTTTTGCCTAGTCTAGTAGGGTTTTAGCTTCTTTTTATTTTTTATTGGGGTTTTAGGGTTTTTGAGCTTTCATTGCTACTTTCTTGAGGAGCGTTTTTAGGAGTTTTCAGAAACTACTAGCAAATATACTCTTGGGGTAACATTATGTTTATTAAAAATCGAAAAAATGGTAAAATTAATGGTTGTAGGAGCTTTTTTATTTTATTTTATTTATTTATTTTATTTTTAAATTCATCCTATTAGTTTTTTTTTTTTGTCTTATTTAGTCTATTTGTTAACCTTTAAAATAATAGTCTTAATTTATTTTTTTTGTGTTATAATTTCAGACATCTACAATTCTATTTTTCTGTCTTAATCTTGTATTTTTACTAAATTTAAATACATAAAATTTGAAGGAAAAAAACTAGAATTAAAATGGACATATATTCTGTCACTCGGTCTAAAATTAAAAAAAAAACTTATAAAAAAGAAAAGCTAAAAATATTTTTTATCCAAAATATCATTTATGGATTCAAATTTATCTCTATCATAGTGACAAATTTAAGCCCATAAATGATATTTGGATTACAAAAAAATTTTATCTTCACCTTTTTTCTAGTTTTTTTTTATTTTTTATAAAAAAATAATCGGATATATCTTCATCGTTTTATTCCAATAGTTTTTTTAATGTTTCAAAATTTATTTATTTAAATTTGATTAAAAAATATTAAGATGAAAAAATAAAATAGAGGAATGAGATTAAAAAATATAAAAAACACAAGTTAACATTATTAGTCCAAAAGTTAACAGAGAGACAAGATTAAGACAGAAACCAAACCTAAAAATATAAGCTTAAGATAAACAAAAAAGTAGAAGACACAATAAGACAAAAAAAAAAAAACTTAAAGGACTTTGCAACCATTAACTCTTTATCTTTATATAATAGAGTCGTGTCCAATATGTTTGTATATCCTAAAATAATATAATTATGCCCTTATATTTTAAGTAAATTTTTCAGATGTCATTTTGGTAAATTTTTTCTAGCCAAATCACTAGGAAAAAGTCACGTGACTTGGACCTCACTTTTATTATTATTATTATTATTTTGAAAATTCCCCTTAACTGCATGTGTGTAAGTCACATGACTTTTTTCAAAGGCATTTTCTGAAAAAAAAAAAAAAATTCAAGTGCAAATCATGTGATTTTTTTTCGATGGTTTGTTCAAAAAAAAAATTCATCAAAAAAATAGATTGAGAACTCACTTAAAATACAAGAATACAATTTACTTATTTAGGATATAAGAATATATTAGAACTGATCCCATTATATAAAGGCATATTGGGTCATTTCTTCTCAAAAATTAATATTGCAAAATAGATCAATTATTTAATTTGCTATTTTTTTTAGTTAAATAAGAAGGGGTATTATCAAACCACCTCACGCTGCGACCAAAACTAAGTCTCTTTCTAAATAATTTTAAGAACAATTACCACATCGGTCTAGTGCATTTAGAGGAATTTAATAAATTCTCTAGGAGTTCACTCAAAAGTTTTAACTTAGGAAAAAAAAAAAAAGAAGAGCAAACCTTTTTAACCATCAAGTCAATCTTATATTCATATACATTGATACTTAATAAAATAGCAGTTTATTTAAGTTTAAAGTATTTAATCCCTATCTATTAAGGAATTTATAATTATAGAGTAAATTTTTTATGCTCGTACATATATTTTTTAAATGATCAAATGACCTCACTTTAATTCATCAATTAAAAATCTTGTATATACGCCTTTACTATAAAAATCATAAGGCATGAAAAAAAAAAAAAACCACCACAAATATGGATATGGATAACGTGTTTGATCAATCAAATGGGTAACTCGAAAATATACATGTTTGTGTAATTGATATTGAGCATTATTGATTATATGTTTTTTCCGATATTTATTCTTTTGGATGTGTTTTTAGGTTATATATGTTGAATAAAGTTTATTTTGTGTTTTAGGATAAGATTGGAGGCAAATGAGTGAAAGTGTGCTAACTTGGGTGAAAATATTCCAATATTGGCAAATTGACCTTTAGAGAAAGATATGAAAATTTCACTTGTTTAAAGTTTCGGAACGTAAAAAAGCCCTTCTTACAGTTTGAAGTAGACATCTTAATCTTTCTAAATCGGATTTAAATGCATAAATCCAATCTTTTTGAGCTATAAAAGTAGGTTGTAAAGTTAGATTAGAAATTTGGATCTCAAGACGAGTTTAGAACACCGAGTAGTGTTTGGAACATATATGGAGTTCTACACATTGGATTAGAGTGATTCTAAAGCCTACAAAATGAAGAAATCCAGCCTTATAACTTTTATGAGAGACCAAGACTAAAATCAATCTCCATCTAATCCAAAATTAGTTCAAAATTTTCAGTATTAAACTTGAAGTCCTATTTAGCAACAAGTCTTAATTAATTTTGGAAATAATCCTAAATAGGACTTATGAGTTGTCATATATATATATATATATATATATAGCTTCTAGCATTACACATTCGGAACACATCGGGTCATGGCCCACTTCGGAATCGTGACAAGTGTTGGTATCGGAGCATAGGTTTTTAGAGTTTAGGATAATTACAGAGCATAAGTTCTATTCTAATCCATGTTCTTTCTTCAAATCATATAGATCAATCCACTAGTGTATACCCTAGCTTCTATGTTTGTAGTCTTAAATTTTTTTTAAAGTAGGGTTTTATCATGCACGGTCTCTCATATGGTTTACTTGATTGACACACACGATCGTGTCAATTTTTTCTTTCATCCTATGTCTCTTAGCTATCGCCCGTGTGGCTTTTCTTTCTTCTTTAAAAACATTTAAAGTCATATGACCTAAATGTTTTGGAGTTAGTGAACCAAGTGTTCTTTTAGCCTATATATAAATTAGGCTAGTTTTGGTGGACCAAATCGAGAGGCTCAAGTGAATGATAGCGAAATACAAGAGATTTTTAATAAGATGCATGAGGGAAAAAGTTTAGGTTTTAGAGTGGATGGTAGAGGTACTCAATGGTTTCATTAGAGATTGTGTGTACCAAAAAATCTAGAGTTACTCGTAACCCTCATAAAATCCGTAATCTTATAAGTATACATATCGAGATATTTATATTCGTATGTATATATATAGTATATCGATTATGTACGTGAAAATCCGTAATCAAGTCAACATATGTACTTGGAATATGTGGTATGTACGTATTTGTTGAGAGTAACCGGTGTACGTCAATATTTATAAAAAAAAAGTTGGGTAAATTAGTTAGAAAATTTCTTTTATATGGAATAAGTATAAATTAGAAAAAAAAAAGAAAGTGCTAATTGCACGAAATTTTAGGAGGAATTCTGAAAATGTAGTTAATTTAATTACCCTCATTTAATCACATTTTGGCCCCTACTTTCTATAAATTTCCATTGACCATCACCTCTTCCTCCTTGAAATTTAAACCCATCCTTTCATTAATTTCAGCCATATTTACCTTACATTTCACCACAAGCTCTTGACACTTGTAATGAGCATTAAATGGATGAGATTAGATGAGATATTTAAGTAAAAAAAATGGGATAAGGATGTATTTTTTGGTGCATCCCGTAGCCTTCCTTAAGGCAAAGAAAGAAAGAGTGAAAGAGAGGGGAGAAAGAGAAAAAAAGGGAAGGAAGAGAAGGGGAAAGGAAAGGAAAAAGAAAGAGAAACTAAAAGGAAGCCAAAGAGATTTTAGGAAAGTTAATCCAATGTAAGTAAGTTTCATTTTTTTCTTGCTTTGTTTATGCCTTCCATGTTTATTTTATGAGTTGTTAATTCATGTAAAATGTGATTATGGTATTTTGTGATGACTTTAAACACTTGATGTTTGATGATGGATGATTATGCATGTGTGATGAGAAATATGCTTTAAGAGAAGATTTCTGGATTTTAGGGGTTGAAAAACCCAAACTTGGTGTGATTTATTTCAGGATCTTAGAGTGACGTTTAGGAAACATGCAAAGAATGAAAGTTGTTTATATATGTGTCTACTATCTCTCTTTAAAATTTTGTGACTTTTAGAAATATATATATGGAGTTATGACTGACTTGGCATGGATCGTTCGAATGGACCACCTACTGGAAAAATATTTCATTTCGAAAGTTGTGTGATTTATTTCAGGATCATAGAGTTGTTTTTGGGCAGAACTCAAAGAAGGAAAGTTCTTCATCTATGAGTCTACTAGATATATATAAAATGTCTTCATTTTTAGATCTGTATGTAAGGATTTATGACTGATTTGGTACGGATCATTGAATGGATCAGCTATTGAAAAAGATTATTTAGTTTCGAAACTTGTGTAATTTATTTAAGGATTTTAGAATGATTTTTGGAGATAACTTAAAGAATGAAAGTTGTTGATCTATATGTCTAATATCTTCCCTTAACATTTCGTGAGT